AGACTCCTAATGGAAAAATCCTGGGGCTCTCAGTTCTCCCCAGTCAATACTTGCCCCTTAGTATTGACTGATTTTAGTTTTCCTGGTGCCTACGTTCTCTGGATGGTGAACGGCATCGCATTTGAACGCGGCAATCCCGTTTGATGTGGCCATTCCTGCCACATCTATAGCACCTTATGTCCTGGGATCTTCTCTGGTTCTCTGTCTGGGTGTTGTTGACTCCCTTGTTTATTAGTAGCTCACATAGTTTGTCGAATTTTCTACACATCTCCTCCAAACTTCTGTGGGTACTCTCGGGCTGTTCCTCGACCGTTACCGATCTTATCTTCGGTCTAGGGATGGCGCTAAAAGCAGCTTCAATTTCTAGCGCCCTGACCAGTGCTTCGCTGCTGTTAGAAAATCGGGATATTTGCAGCGCCCTCTGCAATTCGTTGTCCCTCAGTCCGCTGATAAAGCACTGAGCAGCGAGTTCCTCCCTAAATCCTTCCGGTGCTTCAGGATACGCTAGGTGTACCAGCCGACGTAAGTCTGCTTCAAATTCCTGCAGACTCTCTCCGGACCTCTGCAGGCGTGTCTTGATCTGTGCCTGGTAAAGTTGGCGTCGATGTTGGTCGCCATATCTTCTGTCCAGTGCAGCGACCAAAGTTTGGTATTCCTGCTGTTGGGCTGCAGGAATAGTTTGCAACAGTTCCAGGGCAGGGCCACGCAGCGCGATGACAAGTGCCGCTGCTTTCTCCTGGTCAGTCCATCCGTTGGCAGCGGCGGCTGCTTCAAACTGGCGGTGGTACATCGTCCAGGTGGTTTGTCCATCGTAGGTCGGGGCCTTGAGGTTCGCAGTTCCATGAACGCCAGGTGTCTTTACTTGTACCTTGGTCTTCTGTAGGTCCATCTCTAATTTTTCCATTTTCTGCTGAAGGCGTTCCTCAAGATCTTCTACGGCTTCTTGAAGGTGGATGTCTTGCCTTTTTTTCAGTTCTTCAAAGTTCTTCTTAAATCGGTTTTGATCTTCTAATTTTTCTTTCTGGCGACGCACTTCTAAATCTTCAACAATTTTCTCCAACCGTTCTTGTCTAATTTCTTGATTTTCAAGAATTTTCTGAAGCCGGTCCTGTTCTTCTTGTTTGTCGTGCTCTCGTTGAACTTTGAAATCTTCCAGAATTTTCTCAAGCCGGTCCTGTTCTTCTTGTTTGTCTTGTTGTCGTTGAATTTTCAAATCTTCGAAAATTTTGGTCTTGCCGGTCCTGTTCTTCTTTGTTTTTCTTGTTGTCGTTGTAATTTTTCCTCTTCTTTATCTTTTTACGTAGTCTTTCTTGTTCTTCTTGTTTTTCTTGTTGTCGTTGAATTTTCAAATCTTCAAAAATTTTGTCAAGCCGGTCCTGTTCTTCTTGACGGCGTAATTTTTCTACTTCTTTTCTTCTGCTTTCTCTTCTCTCATATTCTCCATAAAATCGCCCAATAATTTGCTTACTTCTTCCATTTTCTTCGCCTGCTCCCTTGTACCAACCATAAAAATACTCTAATTCGGTCTAAAAATCTTCCAATCCACTTAATTTCTTCTTAAAACCCTCTTGAATCGCACTTCCGACACCAATTGTTACGGATTCCGTGGGTCCACTATTTAAACTCACGATAAAATACTTAACGAATTTATTTGTTTCACTCTGTACGCACAACTTATACTATTTACAACACAACTTATGCAACTACTATTACTCTAACGGTATTTCGCGGTATTTTCAAACTTTAGACTTCAAACTTTAAACTTTAAACTTCAAACTTCAGACTTTCTTCAGACTGCAAACTTCAAACTTTAAACTTGTCCAACTGTCAAAGCGCGGACCTTATATACCCCCTGGCGGTTGTTTCTAGATTTTTCTAAAGAATTCTATAATTTTCTTTACTTTCTGGCGAATGTGCCAGGTTCCTCAATGCACGTTGCGATTTTAGCAGTATGCAGTTATGCAACCAGTAATACACCTTGACAATATACAAGTTCAGCATCTATATTAAATGTTAACAAACTTATATACAGGGTGAGTCTTAAATAAGTGCAAATATTTTCAGGGCTGGCAGATCTCGATAAAAGAAACATATTTTCTCCTTACTTTTTCAGATAAATCCAAAATAACCGAGTTATTTAAGTTTAAAAAAAAATTTTTTTTTAAATGTTGAGTTGAGAGCCACCGGATTTTTTCTGTATTTGCATCCCTTTCAGTGCCGCAACCATAGAGTAAAGCCGTAACTATGGTAATATCAGAGATTAAGAAATTATACCCTGGGAAAATTTGCGGTGAACAGGCAGTTCTAAAAAGTTTTCGAAAAATATACAGGGAAGTTAAAAGAAAATGCATTTCAATATCTTTTTTAGCGAAAAAAAACCCATAAACGTGTTCCTAGGGTCGAAATATACCACCCCTGAAAATATTTGCACTTATTCAAGACTCACCCTATATGTATATAAAATATTAGCAAGATTAAAATGTTAAATATTTAGTAAAATTTAATGTTGTATCTAGACATTCAACATTAAATTTAAAAATAATTATATTAATAATTATTAAATAAAATTATAAAAATAAATAAAATGAGTATATCGAAAATAACAATAGATTAGTAACAAGTTAACAATACATTTTTAGGGCAAGAACATGGGCAATTGCATCTAATAGAGAAGACTTGGTTGAAAATATAAATAAGGCCCAGAAAAGGTACAGGTTGTGTTCTGTTCACTTTGAATTTAAAATGTTTACCAATTCACTTTGTAACCGTATAAAATACAATGCGGTACCTACTTTGTTTCCTGCCATGAAAAAAATAGAAGTTTCTCAAAAAAATTGTGGATTTATTAATTTGTGAAATTTGAATATTAATAAAATTTGCTACGCCCCTTGATGGGCATAATTTGTACGTAGCCTCTTTATATTGTTCAATAAATATTTTATTGGTATTTTTTTAATTCTTGTTTGTAACTCCTGGCATGTTTTTGTTAGTTGCATGTTTTTTAATTTTAATTGTCTATTCTCTACAGTGAAATATTTAATTGATCTTTTCATTTTTAATTTTCGAGAAGTATGCGCGGTTAACGATTCATTTGTTTGGACAAAAGTATTGTAAATAAAATTCAGTTTCAGTCAATTACAGTATTTTTTTAATACGACCCTGTCGTATTTTCTGAGAAATTTTTGAATACGTTTTAATCCGGCCCTGACTAGGAAACCATAATGGCGCCGACAAGGTCAAATTTTATAGAAATTTTAAACAATGGAATCTGAGTAGAGTTGGCGTGCCGATTGTTTTATGTGCCGTGGTAATGGTGTGGATCCGGTGGCTGACCTTGAAACGAGTTTTTGCTGCATATAGTCACAGACACTCCGCATGCGCATATCTTCGATGTTGCCAGATTGCAAGTTATTTTGGAATTATTTTCAATAGAAAACAAATATGTGCTGTGTTTTTTTTGTCAATATATACCGAATGATCGAAAAAACGGCGTCCAGTTGCCTGGGAAATGACGATTGAGAACATTTCCCATAAAATGACAGCGATCTTCATTTCATAGTCATCGCTGACGCTATTTTTTTCAATCATAGTACGCGGTATATTATTTATATTATTATTTTAATATTTCGCACAACACGTGAAACGTGAACGCTTATTATGTATTTTCATAGTCAATAAAATTAAATAGAAATAAAACTCTAGATTCCTATAATTAATCTAATTGCTCTAGATTATTATGCTACGTTTCAAAAGTGCTTTACTAAAAATTCGGGAAATTAAAAGGGATGTGTCCAAGTTTTTTATTTTTTTTTATTTTTAAATGCTGTAAACTGTAGCTCCATGTCATGTTCATAATAGGTTTTTTTAACATTCCATCAAAACTACGGAGGCCTTAAAAGGCCTTTTAGCCTCCGTAATTAATTAATTCTGCTTATACATATATTGCATTAATTTTTCTGCTGCCTTAAGATTTCTCTATTCTTACACCTAATTTATGTGATTTTCTTTTTTCTTAGCATAATATGATTTGGTTTGGTTGCAGTAATAAATAAGTTTTACTGTAATTTGGTGCAAATTACAGTAAATTAAGAAAAGAATATAAGTAATGTATATTCTACGACACAAACCATCTCCCTTCTAACGAGAAAAAGATAAAACATAAAGCTTATTTTAATCTTATCAACACACTCTTCGAAAAATTGCATTAATCCACTAACTTGATATTTTTAAGAAATTATGATACAAACGATACAAACATTATAATCAAAGTATATTATATTAGTAACATTATAGGTAAAATGTTACCTCAATATCTCCCATTGACGTGTATTGTTTAATAAGACTAGTCATGGTAGTATTTCAAAACATACCAATACATATAATCAAAACTATTGTTGCCTGTAAATAACTAGAAATTAAATAACTTGAAAGAAATAAAATAATTCTAATAAGTTTAAACCATTAAGAAAAATCCGTACATGATAATTTTAATTCTAATGTAAATATATAAATAAATGTTATATTATTACAATTTTATATATTCATAATACTTTCATTTCACAATCTTCATTATCCTTCTTACCGTAATTTTGGATATCAAGATAAATCTGAAATTATAAAATTAATTATAGAATTTGTATTATTATTGATTAACACTCAAAAAAAAATTTTCAATTGCAAATAATTCGAAAATAAACTGCAATTTGGCAACATCGACGATGTGCGCTTGCGTAGTATCGATGATCAAATGCAGCAAATATGGGCTTCAAGGTCAGCCACCGGATCCACACCTTTACTTAATTATTTAATTTTGGTATGGACAATTGTGCGCAAAAATTAATTAATTAATTAATACCCATTTTTGGTAATATCTGTAGCAAAGTCCTATATCATATACTCTGATCATATATAATCATGAATTAAAAACAGTTGGAACTCTTCTATTTGGGTCAATATATAAAAATAAGAAGACGCCATAAATCTGTCATCTGTCAAAAAATCACAAGTAGGCCTATGAAGTTGGCATTTCTGAAATTCTGAACGTTGACACAGAAAGCGAAGTCGAATGTATTTGAGGATTTTTATTTGAATTTGCTATTTTTTAATAAACAAGCCGACTATTGGTATTTATTTATTATAGCAGCAGTAATTTGTAAGTCACAAAATGCATTCATAAAGGTTGCTTATTTTCATTTCAGTCTCACGTTTTTTAGAAACATAACCAAACTTTTAAAATACGATTAGAAAATGTCGGCTTCTCAAGTCTTTAATAGAATTGGACAATTTGGTTTAGGAATTGCTTTAGTTGGAGGAGTTGTAAATTCTGCCCTTTATAATGGTAAGACCTAAACCCGAAACGCGGTTCCCACGATTTTAAAATTATATAGAATGTTATTACCTAATAAGTAACCGGTTCCTAGAATATGTATAAAAATGGTTTCAAAATGAATATAATTTTGCTATCAAAGATATTTCTTTGTAATACTTACTGTCTGGTTTTGTCGTTTTGTGTATATCTAGGAATCACTTCATCCCCAAACATAAGAAATATTAAATTTAGTATCAAGTGTATTTTTTTAGTTGATGGAGGTCACCGAGCAGTTATATTTGATAGATTTGCGGGTATTAAGAAGCAGGTAATTGGTGAAGGTACACATTTTTTTATTCCATGGGTGCAAAGGCCAATTATATTTGATGTTAGATCAAGGCCTAGAAATGTCCCTGTTATTACAGGAAGTAAAGGTACACTAAATATAGCTTAGTATGATATTTATATAGACTTTATAAAAATTGTATTGATTTTTAGATCTGCAGAACGTTAACATTACTTTACGTATTTTGTTCAGACCAGTTGCTGATGAATTACCTAAAATATATACTGTTCTTGGTCAAGATTATGAAGAGCGTGTCCTTCCTTCTATTACAACAGAAGTTTTGAAAGCAGTCGTAGCACAATTTGATGCTGGAGAGTTGATTACACAACGTGATCTTGTATCGCAAAAAGTTAATGATGATTTAACAGAAAGAGCATCACAATTTGGTGTAATTCTGGATGACATCTCAATCACACATTTAACTTTTGGAAGAGAATTTACTCAAGCGGTTGAATTAAAACAAGTTGCTCAGCAGGAAGCTGAAAAGGCTAGGTAGTACCATAAATTATTCATTTACAAATATAATTTTTTAATTAATGTGATTTATAGATTTTTAGTAGAAAAGGCCGAACAAACCAAAAAAGCAACAGTTATATCAGCAGAAGGAGATGCTCAAGCTGCTACATTGTTGGCCAAGGCCTTTGGAAATGCTGGAGAAGGTCTAGTTGAACTAAGAAGGATAGAAGCTGCAGAGGATATTGCTTATCAATTGTCAAGGTCAAGACAGGTTTCATATTTACCAGGAGGCCAAAACTTACTACTGAATGTTCCTACTCCAGGCAACTAAAAACACTTCAGGTTGTAGTTTTTATTTGTCCTATATAGACTGTCTCCATCACAGTCTTAATTTAATTACAAATCATATGATATTTTTTGATTTGATATATACGGGAGTAATCCTTGAAGATAGACTTATATGTATAGTTTCAATCTATTACTGTAAATTCGAAATAACACTAGATGTAACAAGTGTACTGTTATTATTTTACTGTTACATTTACATTTGTTATAAGTCTTATAACTGTATAGAATAGTTTAATACATTTTTTGATTCAATTATCTCTTTATTCTTGTATCTAGAATACATACATACAGGGTGGCGCCTCTCATATGAAGATTATATATAATATTATATATAGAGATTTTTACATGGTGTCCCCAAAAAAGTTACACACCAAAGTTGTATTTTTTGTAATGGAACACCCTATATATCTATAGTTTGTTTCTTACTTCTTAAACCTTTAGATAATATCCATATATTTTTTTTTCCTTTTCTTGACATGAAAAAAAAAGTCATACAGACTGACAAGAAATCATAGTCATACACACTAGTGCTAGCAAGGCGTCTTCAAGAATAAAGTGCCTGAAAAAGCCCACTATGTTGGAACGAAACATCGCATAAAATAAAGTTTCCATCTTTCAATTTATTTTAACAAAACTTCATACCCAAGAAATGGAAAAAAAATATAGCTATATATTAATTGATTTTCAGATTCTGGTAGAAAAATAATGGTGAGTTTCATTAGAGAAGTATATGACTAAAATGTAAGGTTTTTGACATAATCTACTAACATAACTTTTTCTATAAATGAAGAACAAATTTTATATTTCAAATTTCAACACAAACTACCTAAATTAGAATTTACCCGGTATAGCCTAATATGCAGTTAAAATAACTCTTGTACAGGGTGGTCGAAATTGGTCTGTTTTAACAGAGAAACCCTATTTCCTGACTAGATAGAGCAAAACCGTCATAGATGTCATGGGCTCGATTTCTGAGACACGTTTAATGGCGTAAACCGCCTGTTGATATTTTCACTGCCAACTGAGATACAGGTCTTTTTGAATTTTTACCATTTTAAAAATTGCCGATAACTTTTTTATTTCATGGAATAATAAAATTCTGCAAAAACGTTCTTCAGGCACCTTTTAAGCAGAATCCAGTGGCCTATTCAGTTTTTTTCTATGTTTGCTCTTTTTGTCAAATAATAAAAAATATTATTTTTTAAATGGAAATCATAGTTGGCTATGAACTTAAAAAAATGGTGGCGTTTAACCCTATCCAACGATATAAAGTTAAGAGTATCTATTTCTAAGAATGAAAGAAATATTAGGTCTTTTTATCTTTATATCGAAGCAGGCCTTGATTTTGTGTTGATCTATTTGCTTAATTATTTTTTTATCACAATTTAATATTCCATATTATTGTTTATCTGCAAAATTAAAAACTTTTGAAAAGGTTTCTTTTTAACATTCTATATTAGTATTAATAATTACAATTGAAATCGATACAATAAACAAAGAACAAAACTAAAAAAAAAAATTTTTCGAGTGACGAATATAGTTTTCTAAAAAAAAACATCAAAGATATTCAAACAGCCCTCCTTGTTGAATACACAATTAACATCTTTCGCGCACAGTTACAGCGATTTACTAGGTGAACAAAAGGTTACCTAGTAGCCTTCTGAAATTCTTCTCTTGTCCCGATGGTTCTTCCGTTATATATAAGGTATTTTAATTTCCCCCATAAAAAATTCGAAAGGAGTTAAATCACAAGACCTAGCAGGCTAAGATATGGGGTCCCTCTTGTTTCAATCCAATTATCTCTAAATTCTCCATTTGTTTAGTTGTAACCCTGGCGTTTTAGTTATAATTGGTAATACTAATATAGCATGTTGATTTACCTTTTCAAAAGTCTTTAATTATGCAGATAAATAATAATATAGAATATTAAATTGTGATAAAAAATAATTATGCAAATAGGTCAACACAAAATCAAGGCCCGCTTCGATACAAAGATAAAAACCCTAATATTTCTTTCATTCTTAGAAATAAATACACATAACTTTATATCGTTGGAAAGGGTTAAATGCCAGCATTTTTTTAAGTTCATAGTCAACTATGATTTCCATTTAAAAAATTATATGTTTTATCATTTCTGACAAAAAGAGTAAGTATAGAAAAAAACTCACTACGCCACTGGATTGTACTTAAAAAAGTGCCTTAAGAACGTTTTTACAGAATTTTATTATTTCGCGAAATACAAAAGTCATGGGCAATTTTCCAAATGGTAAAAAATTTAAAAGACGCCGTATCTCAATTGGCAGTGAAAATATCAACAGGCGGTTTACGTCATTAAATGTGTCTCAGAAATCGAGCTCATGACATCTATGTCGGTCTTGCTCTATCTAGTCAGGAAATAGGTTTTCTCTGTTAAAACAGACCAATTTCGACCACCCTGTACTTTTTAAATCATATTAAAACTTGACACAAAAAGTTATAAGTTATACAGGGTGAGACAAAATTAATATTGAACATTTGTCACCCTTAAAAGCAAGTTACTCTTTTATTTTAAATGAAACACCCAGTATATTCCGATATTCACGGGAATTCATGTCTCGTCAAAATACTATACAGGTTGCCTACCTCTGAAACAAAGATTTTCATAGATATTTTCATTTTTATGATTTAGTGTCAGTGGATCCTTATTATATTTAATAAAATCTAGGTTACAGATACCTAATGTTACTTCAACAATATTCAACATGCTGTCAAATTAGTTTCAAACCTTTAACAACTAGTTATCATTTTGTATCAGTTAAAATAAAAAATATTGTCAGAAATTTGCAGAAAATGGAAACTTTCCTACTTCCTACATCAGAGAGAATTGATATGATTCTATTAATTGGTGACTGGCAGTGTGTATTTATCAATTAATAGAATGCTTAAATCAGTTGTTTTCAACCTGTGGGGCGCGTCCCCCCTAGGGGCTCTAGACTGTTGCAAGAGGGCATGCAGCTGTTTCCAGAATATCATTTTCGGATACAAGATTTGTTTTTATTATATTTAAAATTATTATTTCTTATAATAAATAATTATTTTTTTGTATATCTTTACATAATATTAATATTGTATATTATTTTGTAGCCCATTAAATAAGGTATATCAGTTGAGAATTTATGAAATTAGATGTTAGAAAAATTAGGGGGGCGCAACAATTTTTTTTAAAAAGGAGCGCAGGCACAAGGAGGTTGGAAACCACTGGCTTAAATGCTCCTGATTTATCTAGTTTGGGCTTTTTTTTACTGAGGTATGTTAAACATGAGAGGAATGATTGTCACTGCTTTTCGAAGTAGAACTCCAGATGCGCCTCTTAATATGAAAAGGTCTTTTGAAAAAAGAATCATTTTATGCAGTGAGGAGAAAATGAAGCATTTTGAGCGTTTGATTTCATCTAGGTAATTTTTGTCACCTAATTATACGTTTGTAACTAGTAACTAGAATAATTAAAATATGTTTTAAACGCATAGATTTAGTAAGAACAGATATCACATTAGACATTTTAACCCGATCAAACAATCGGAGGTTGACTACGTACTGTAAAAACCAACTGAGATAGAGAAGGCGACATTGCCACATCTCAAATTTGCGCCTATCTACTCAGTTTGATTTGCAGAAAAGGTGACTTTAAAACCTTTATCGGATATCAATAAATCTCAATTTCTTAATTAAATTAATAGTTTATTTTTAAAGAAGCATGCGTAATAATATGTTATTAACCAGAGGATATATGCGTTACTATTAAAGGACATGTTTACTGTTTAATGTGTTGAAACGTCTAGAACTATTGGCAACGTCGCTGCTAGTCTTCCAGAATGAAATGAGCCGTCCGTCCCACCACCCCTCGCGACGGCCCATGGTCCGTTATAGCGTACTGCGTTTAGCTTGCGGTGTGTTTGAAGTCGGAATCAAGACGGAAGTGAACTTTCAATGTTTTTCGGTGGTTTTTGTTTTTGTTTAACGTACCTACTTTTGAATCTGCGAATTCAGTATGGTACGACAGTGTCAAGTGTGTGGAAAAATAAGCTCAAATTACCCGAATTTGTCTTTTCACAGGTGGGTATTGTTTTCGTCATTGTACATAGGCGTCCCACAAGGGAGCCTCTCACAATCAAAATAATTTCTAATTATATTTGTAATTAATCTATTAAAACAAGAACGTAGTAGCCAGTAATTGAATTATAATTCGTCTCAATGACTATCTAGTAACTGTTGTAGATCATAACAAATTTGAATATAAACGTTGCATTTGAAATTTTATTATAAGCCAGAAAGTGAAATTTTTTTCTTAAAATTGCGTCATTTCTGGTCATTATATACCATATTCCAAAGGAATTTTGCTCAACAAATAAACAAAGGTGTTACCCGGCCTTTTTTACATTTTATTGCTTTATTATATCTGCCCCTTCGGCCTTGTTTAGACAATTTTTTACCACTGTACAAATACCTCTTCCTAGAGTTATTTGTACGGTGTGTTTACCTTTTTTTTAGAATGGGACGAACTGTAAATAATTCTTAGGCTACTAGTTTTATACATACCTATATACAGAGTGACCCAGGCCTCCAAAAAAGCTTTTTACCTATTACTACTAGCTGCTCTCGCCATCTAGCACTCGCCATAGTAGTACGTTTTGTACTCAAATGCTATTTTCTGCTTTTCGTTTGTCGGATTGAGAATTACAGCAAAGTCGGCCTGACGATGGAGATAAATCTCCGAAACCGGCCGTCGAATGGCTGTTCCCTTCAGTCTGATGAACTTAATGCAGAGAATAGGCATATATGTAGGGGTTAGGCCTTAATAATTTTTGCTTCTTGTATTTTGTTTATTTATACAAACCCTACCAAGCCTTGAGCTCCATCTACGGTAACGTAGACGAAGCAAACGTAATATTCATTATTATGCGACAGAAATCCCATACTGTAGCACACAGATTTGATACTTTTAATGATAAATGCCTTCTATTGAGAGACTAAAAGGTAATTGCCTCGTATCAGAGCCATCATAATACAAGAAGAAGACCGAAAGTGAAATCTTGTCTTATATTTTCAAAAAAAAAAACATTTTCTCATTAAATATTGATTATAGGTATAGGAAGTTATTAATAATACAAGATTAAACAACTATTACATACAGTACTTCACAGAAAGCTATCGATTGCGAACTAACTAAATCGTTACTAATTGCTAATTTTGAAGTTCTTTTTAAGATCAAAAAA